ACTGGGAATATTACTCTCCTAATATTATCAGTTAATGAGGTCAGCAATGCAAAAATTCAGACCTTGTTTCCTTTAGATCACTTGTCTGGGAAAATTATGAAACAACTGCTGGCTTTTCAGTTAGCATTACAGATTTTTTGGTGCAGAGCAGCAGTTCTCAAAGTGTGGTCCTTGGACTAGCAACATCAGCCTCATTGGGGGACTTTTTAGAAATCCATTTTCAGGCCTTACCTCAAACCTGCTGAATCAGAAACTCTGAGAATGAGGCCCAGCAATCTGTGTTTTCACAAACTGTCTGGAAGGATATGCTAGCAATTAAGACTTGAGATAGACTATTGCTGAATCATTTCATTTCAAGGACCAGGTCAAAACATTATTTGACATTGTTTAAAAGAATCTTTCTTATCACTGAGGATTAACAGTGATACAAAAAACTTGGGACCAGCAGATGGTATAGTGGTTACCTCGCTGGACTCCCATGTATTTGACCTTCATTTGTGCCTTGGACCCAACGGCTTAAAACTCATGCCAGGTGCATGTATGTGCATGCCCAAAATCCTGAGAGGAGAATGGAGAAGGGATTGAGGCATGGTCATCCCCTGGAGAATGACTTCTCACTTTTTGTCTCTCTAGTAAGCGCACACACCCTGTAGAAAAATCTCTCCCCCCAAAAGGAGTGATAATCAACAGAATGAAGATTGCTAAGCACCTGAAAGTCACAAATGACAGCCATGGAAATCTAAGGTTCTGATAAACCTCTCAAGAGGTTCCCTAAAATAAATGTTTTCAGGGCCAGTCAGGTGGCATAATGGTTAGGGTGGCTGGATCCCACGATGCAGACTGCATCATTCGAGTCCTGGATCCAGAGGCTTTAAAAACCCACCAGGTATACGTGTATGAGTGCCCAAAATGTCAAGAGAAGAATGGAGGAGAATGGATTGCTGCATGGCCATTCCCCCTGGAGGGTGCTTTCTCTTTCTCTCTCTTTCTGATGAGAGCATGCATTCTGTAACAAATTAAAAACAAAAACTAATGTATTTACATGTTTGATTGGTGACTGTTCCTCTGACCAAACCTTTGGGTTTATCTCTGAAAGACTTGGAATTTTGTGTTAGGAGAAACAGTTTTAGAGCTTCAGGAGTGAGTCCATATCTTGTATTTGTATCCTCATTACCTTCCAGAGTGCCCAGCATAGAGTGGATTTAATAATAAACATTTATGATAAATGAACGAAAGAATAAAGTAGTCATCTCATGGATTCAGGTTCTTAAGTAATTTCTGCTAATATCTTGGGATCACTTAAAATAATCTTTTTTTGGATAGTTTATTCTAGTATTAAATAACACTAAGAGAAGAAAAAGAATACTGGCTGCCTCATGTATGTGGCCAGTCTTTGTAGGAGTTTAGGATTTTATCTACTAAATAGTAAGAATAATGCCCTGGGTCCAGCAGGTGGCATAGTGGTTAGGGCACTGGACTCCCACATGGCTGACCAAAGTTCAAGTCCTGGAGTGGGGCAGCTTGAAAATCACACTGTATGTGTGTGTGGATGCTCAAAATCACAGGAGGAGAATACAGGAGAAGGGACTGAGATTTAGCCATCCCTCCTGGGGGGTCATTTCTCACTTGCCTTCTCTCTCTGTCTGTCTCTTTCCAGCAAGTTCACATGCCCCATGGCAGAAGCCTAAACCACAACAAAATGATAAAAAAAATAAATAAAAGAATAATGCCTCAACTCCTGAGAAAGAGCGAGTGAGAGGAAAGCACAAAAACAACCTATATGAAGCTAGTGTTTGTTCTGTTTTTTGCTAGATCTGTGAAAGATCTGTTATTGTAAGCCGACTTCTACCATGATTAACCCAGGACTTCTCAACCTCATCACCACTGCCATTTGGGGCCAGATCATTCTTTGCTGCAGGGCTGTCCTCTGTATTGTAGGAGGTGGAGTAGCATCCCTGTTCTTTACCCACTAGACGCTAGCAGCATCACTTCTTCCCAACTGTAACAAGTAAGATGTCTCCAGAAACTGCCAAGTGTGTCCTAAGGAGTAAAACTGCCCAGGTTGAGAATCAATGCTTTAACACAGTATTAATAGGAGAATAGTAATTTTTCCACATTTTATTCAAAGCTATGGAAACAGGCTTCAAGAAAGAACATATGTTCCCCATTTCTCTTTAGCTCATCATTGAGGACTTTGGCAGTGACAGCTCTGTCTATTTTGAAATGATTTGGTTCACAAATCCTCATTATTTTAGGCCAGTTTTCTCATTGGGACAACTTTATCTTTGGAAATGCAAATTTACTAACTCTAAGCATCTTTTTTACACTTATCATTATCTTCTAGACTGATTCAGCACTGAATTCCATTATTTGGAATTTTTATTTAACAATTTCTAAATTATATAGAGACAGGCTAAAAGAACTTTATATGAGTCCATACTATAGAGTTACCAGCTAACTGAATGGTTTTTTATCTACTTCATTACAATACTAAAAAAAAAAAACCATGTAAGTAAAAACTTAAATAAAATCTAGTAATAGCCTCTATTACCTGCTACCCCAAGATTCTGTCCCCGGAAAGAAAGTGATCCATAGAATTAGTAGGGTGTTTTTTTAGACACCAGGAAGTAAATTCCAGGAGTATTAGTGAATTTCTATGCTGGATTCCCACGTAGTTGACCGTGGTTCGTGTCCTGGCTTAAAACTCACGCCGGGCGCGTGTGCGTGCGTGCCCAAGATCCCGAGAGGAGAATGGAGGAGAAGGGATTGCGGCGTGACCATCCCCCCTGGGGGGTGATTTCTCGCTTTCTGTCTCTATGTCTCTCTCTGTCTGTCTGGCGAGCGCACGCGCCCTACAGTGAAAATCTCTCCAAAAAAAA